TCACTTTATGGAAGAATTCACAGTGACCCATTGCAGTCTTACTTCCTAAATGAGTTTTCCCCATGCGACACCACCATTATGACACTGAAAGTCTAGATACGCTTTTTGTATGTCTTGATTGCAGGAGAGACGGAAAGCAGGACTTTGACTTATCTATACAGATTAGATCTGACTTTGCCCAGTGAGATTATAGGCCTTGAGTCTTATGTGGCTCTCCCAAAACACCAAAATACCACTCAGCCTTCTAAGTCCAAAAAAGATACGGGTCTATTTGAGGTCGCCGAAAAGTCTCAGGAAGGTAAGCTTCATACAGGCGGTTTGCCTTTCCATTCCCCATCTCTTGCATGCACTGTAATCAGAGAGATGTGGAGACACGGGATGTGAAAACAGGAAAGAACTGAAAACCTTCCCACCCAAGGCAGCATGTTACAACTGAAGAACCAACCCAGAGAGTGGCAGAACCAAGGTTTAAACCTGTGTATCCTGATTTCCAATCCCCAACCCTCTCTATTCTACTCCTAAACATTTGCCCCCACAGTTGTCTTTCCCACCCCATCCCCCATGAGCTCCCTTTACTGAAAGATCTGACAAGATATATTTAATTCAGTAAAAATTCAAGATCCCATTTGAAAGTCCCAGATACACAGCTAAGAATCAAAATATCTACGTGGCAGGAAATTGTCAGTGCCTAATCAAGCAGGTACCATGCAGGCACTAACTACATTTGGAGTTTACACTATTAATTAACCTATTCAGCTTTATTACCAATAAATATGTTTTACATAGGCTTTTGAAATAGGCTCCTTAACACTTGAGGGACAAATCCCAAGATCTTTTTCAATCTTCAGATTCTCAAATAACCACATAGCATGTAAACCTTCATAAGATACAGAAGGTGCAACTGAAAAATAGAACTAACCTTTAATGAATCTNGGTCTCCAGACTCCCACCAGAATAATCTTCCTAAAACACAAATCTGTACAGATCAGGCTTCCGCATATAAGCCTTTCACATAGTCTTATAATAGAGAGGTGAAAATGTAAATTGGTGAAAATTTTCTGAATGGCATATTACAAACAGCCCTCAATCTCCTGCCACAAAACCTGCTCTTCCGTCATTTTTCTCCATCATAGTCAATTACACCTCCAACCACTCAAATGCGTCAGAAATTTATACATCATCTTTGATACTTCTCTCTTTCAACCCTCATATCTATACCATCACACAGACCAAAATATCTCTCAAATCAGTATCTCTTTCTCTCCATCTGCAACACCTACTTCTCTAATCCAAAATCATCAGATTGTTTGGACTAGGACCATAACCTCCTAATGTCTCTCCCCTTAACTTTTACATTTCTTTCTCCCTCCAATCCCAAACCAAAACCGTTCTCCACAAAAGTCAGCTTGAGCTCTTAAAAAAGCAAATGTGACCCTGTCATTCAGCTGCTTAAAACCATTCTATGGAAGGCTTCCTTGTATCACTGTTGGACTAAAAAATAAAATCCTTAACATGGTCTCCACCGTCTTATACCATCTGGCCCATGCCTATTTCCCCAGCCTCTCAACTCTGACAGTACCAGCCTTCTTTCATTTCCTCAAAGCACCAACATAGTCTTTGTTTTGGCCTTTGGACATGCTGTTCCTACTACCTAAAAAGCTCTTTCCCCAACCACCATCCACCACTTGTAGCCTGGTCAGCTCCCCCAAATCACAAAGGTCTCAGCAGGAAAGTTCTTCCTAAAAGGAACCTTTCTTGCCCCACACCTCCCGCCCCAATGTAGACCAGATTATAATCTCTCTTCCATCTTCGCATTTTATTATGAAAAATTTCAAACACAAAAGCAGAGTATAATTAACCACCAGCTTCAGCAATTATCAACCTCTGGCCAATCTGGCTTCAGCTATAGTCCCACCCACTTTCCCTCATCCCCAACCTTGGAATATTTTGAAACAAATCCCAAATATCACATCATTTCTTCTGTATATACTTCAATATATACTATCTCTAAAAAATAAGAACTTTTTAAAGATTATAAACTTTTATTTACCCTTCTTCAGCTTTTCTTTCTAAGTNTATTTGCACAGGCCTGCCGTACAGCTAATAAACACACAAATGGTTCACATACTTCTTTCGGTGGCAGGGAGTTACATAGACACAAAGAAAAACCTAAACAGATGTGAATGAGGTGTCATAGGGGGGCTGTATGTCTATTTTAGGTTATCACTTTCGTAAAGGAACTCAGGTAAGATCTAAGTTATATAAGATTAAAAATGGGACCAAAAGTTAATATCTCATGTTTCTTTACCATTTTCCCTTTGCTCTAGATTCTAGAACTCATGATAAGATAGTTAAAATATACTTGTTTGCCAACAAAATCAGAAGCCAAAAACACTAACTGGAAGTTAGCTGTGGAGCATAGGGAATGTAGTCAATAATATGGTAATAAATATGGATAGTGCCAGGTGGGTACAAGACTAGTCAGGGGGATCACTTCGTACGTTATATACATGTCTAATCACTATGCTGTCCACCTGAAGCTAACGTAATATTGAATGTCAACTGTAATTGAAAATTTTTGTTTAAATGTTTCTAAGAGTTTTTTAAAAAGTTGGCTATGAATAGAATATTATGCTGTTTGCTTCTTGGCTGTCAGTCTGGAGGAGATGATTCCCAATCATCTAAGCCCCTGTCACAATTGTGGAATTTCTCACAATCAAGACTGCCTCTGGGACGGCCAGTTAGCTCAGTTGGTTAGAGTGCAGTGCTCACAACACCAAAGTTGCCAGTTCAATCCCCACATGGGCCACTAAGCTGCGCTCTCCACAACTATTGGGTTGTCGGAAAAGTCATGACGCATTTTTGCAACAAAAAACTACGTCATGACTTTTCCGACAACCCAATAGATTGAAACAACTACTTGACTTGGAGCTGCTGGGTCCTGGAAAAACACACTGTTCCCCAATTTATAAAAAAGACTCTGCCTCTGAGAACACAAGACTAGGGCCTGATGCTCTGGAGCTGCTAACAAGGCGCCAGCACAGAAACAGGCAATCATATTTTCCTGAAAAGCTGGAGGACAGCCTCCTCTGCCCGCCTCCCACATCCCTCTGACAACCTTTTCCCAGCGACATCGTGACAGCCCTATCCCAGACACTCAGCCTCCTTTAGTTTGAAGTCACTAGATTTATTAGTCAATAGCAGCACGCTCCATAAAAGATCCTGAAATCGGAGAAAAGGAAAACGCAAGAGACAAAAGTTACTCATATGCATGACAATGTGGGAAAATGGTGTCATTATTAAAAGCACAATCTTTGCAGCCAGAAAACAATTTAGGTTTCTGTGTCAGCTCCATCAATGATTAGCTGTGTCACCCTCAGAGAGACGCTTCATTTTCCTAAGTCTCCGTTTCCTCGCTTAGAGAATGTGTCTAATAATATCTATCTCACACCGCTTAGAATGCAGAAGGATAACAATAAAAGAGAGCTACATATAAGAACATGGTATAGCAGGAGATTTCCAGGACCCATTTACAATTCATCTTCTTCTTTGATAAGGACCGGGTAACTCATTCGTATGTACATACCAACACTAGGCAACACTAGAGAATGCTGCTTTTTAGGCAGGAATGAGTTCCAGCCCTAAAGTGTCAGAACCAAAGTTGGCTGAATATCACAAAGAAGAAATTTATCCTGGATCGAATTTCAAAGTCTTCTAGAAAACATGAAATTTTAAGCCACTTCCTTTGTCTCCCTCAAAATATTCCTTGAAAAGGCA